TCCTGAGGAGAGGAAAGCTCCACCCATTTAAAGGTGAGACCCATGGCCTCAGATTTGGAGTTGCTGATTTTCATTCCCACCGCTTCACACTTGTCTGTGAACCACTCCAGTGCGAGCTGGAGGCCATCACCTGATAAAGCCAACAGAATCACTTTGTCTGCACAAAGCAGAGATGAGATTCTGAGATTCTGCCACTTGGTTATGCCTAGAAATTCTTTCCGTAAAAATTATGAACAGAATCTGTGAAAAAGGCAGCCCTGGCGGAGCCCACCAGGAACGAGTCCGACTTGTGGTGTTTCCAGTTTTCGTTGACTGCAACTTTACCCTGACCTCTGACCAACTTTATTTTCATTCTAACAACCAATCCCTCATCTCTCAGCCCATCAGAGTCCCTGGTGTTCCTCCTCCGTCTCCATGGAGATGTCTGACCCACACGATGTCACGTGACATGTTGTACGGGATTTTGTTTCGCTGTTCTCAGCTGCCGTCGGACCACCTGCCCCCACGTATCAACAGCACGCTACCACCCACCATCTGCAGAAAACTGCCACTGCCGCTACAGAGGAGTGAGTACCTGTTCTCTGACTTTCAGAATGCAAGTCAATGTCAGCACTCACCTGCCTTCCTCCACAGGTAACCGCTCTTACTCTGACAGCTTATTGGGTCTGAGGTCTGGAGTTAAACACATGCCGCTCCCACGAGCTTCATCACAGCTGGACTGGCTTCACCTGGAGAGCACTCAAGCCTTCAGAGGTAACAGTCACTGCACTCAAACTTATCAAACTCCTGGATGGAAGGAGGATTAAATTATGATGAGGCTTTCTTGTCTCGTTGGGACAGATTTAGATAGACTGTTTCTTCTCTACTCTGACACTCAAAGCGCTTTGCACAACTTGCCTCAGTTGCACAATACCTTTTTTCTATGTAAATGCTTTCTATCTAACATTTACACATGTTCATACTCCGATGGATGCAACAGAGAGCAAATTGGGGTTATTATCTTGCCCAAAGACATAGACTGGAGCAGATGGGCATCGAACCTCCAGCCTTGCGATTAGTAGGTGACCTGCTGTATCTCCTGAGCTCTAGCCACCTTAGTTAGTCTCTAACCTCCAGATTCCATCCAATTCAGTTTTATTTATACAGCGCCAAATCACAACAAGGAGACAGTAGACCCTACAATAATAGATGCAGAGACAAACCCAACAATCGTATGATCCCCTATGAGCAGCACTTTGGCAACAGTGGGAAGGAAAAACTCCCTTTTAACAGGAAGAAACCTCCGGCAGAACCAGGCTCAGGGAGGGGCGGGGCCATCTGCTGCGACTGGGTGGGGAGAGAGAACGACGACAGGATAAAGACATGCTGTGGAAGAGAGACAGAGGTTAATAACAGATATGATTCAATGCAGAGAGGTCTGTTAACACATAGTGAGTGAAGGAGAAACAGTGCCTGTTCTTTGCTCCCAGCGCTATTGAAAACTGATTTTAAGGTCCTTAAATGTGTCGCGTTTCTGACCTGGTAATGATGCACACTCCCAGAGGTCAGTGAGGTCTTCTGAGCAGGGCTCCTGGTTTCACCGAGGAGCAGATTAAAGCTCAGAGATCAGTTAGGACCTCAGCAACCCTCAGCATCCTCCAAACCGTCTGGAAACTAATTTACGGAGATGGCAGAAGGGGTGGACCACTTCGAGCTGATAGGCAGGAAACAGGAACTCAAATAACTGCTTGTTACAGGCAAAATTACTTAAGGACCGCCTCCTGTGGTCACATGACTCACCGTTGGTCACATCTGGTTTGTTGTTTGTCTGTTGTTGCGAAGCTGCCACCCTCTCTTAGTTAGCTGGTTGTTCACCTGTTCACAGCGGACATCAATCAGACACAACGTACACTAGGGGTGACATCACAGAGCTCCGCCCTGGAGGACAGGTGAGACACCTCATTTATTTTCCATGTAATATTGCTGACATCACAGTGACATCACGGCTCCCCTTCCCTCAGTGACATCACAGCCCGCTCCCTCTCAGGTGAAGTCCTCCAACTGGAAGAGATTCTTCAGCAGCTGCAGCTCGACCTGCTAAAGGTAAAGCACATTAAACTGATGTCATGGAGGCAAGCGGATGACATCATCGCATTGACTTGTGTCCATGTTGTGTTCAGGAGCAGCGGGACAAAGCTGTGCTGCAGCAGCAGGTGCTGAGCCTCCGTCAGGAGAACCACCGCCTGCAGGAGGAGAGTCACATCAGGAGGTTCGCCGCCTGGATGCTGCGCCAGGATTCGTTACCATAGTAACACCACTAGCATTTACTGAACAGTCAGCACTGTGTCACATGACTCGCAGCGGATCGTGGTGACGACAAAGAGTTTGAACCGTGAGCAGAACAATCGAACAGCACGAAGCAGCACGCTGAATGAAGATGAGGTGATCTGATGGGATCAGTCACAGCTCGGCTGACCGGTCTCGTCAGTCCTCCTCGGCTACCTGGAAGTAGGCGGAGCCGCTCTATGATTCTTGCTGTTATTTGTTTTCACACAGAGGCGCAGTGAGTTAGTCGCAGCAGGAGCTGACCTCCGTGCGCCTCCACCTCTGTCAGCTGGCGACGATGAGCTTTTACTAAACGCCTCAGCGCAGATGTTTAAGGATGTTTTCTCTTCAGACTGTGGATCATACAGATGTTTGATCCAAGCTGAATCAGCTGATCCAGAATCAGCTGATTTATCCAAAACTCTTCTTTCATGTGCAAAGAGATCCTGCTCTCTTTCTGCTGTTACGTGTCTCTATTTTTATAAAGGTTTACATCAGAATTTACTTTTTTGGCCTAGTTTTCCTGGAGATGATGTGATTAATACTGTAATTACAGCAGCATTCACAGATAGAAGGTTCTTACTCAGAAACATTTTCATCAGGTCGATCGTTTTTATATCTGTATATAAAAAATATGTATTTCATTTGGTCAGCAATGAGCAGCCTGAGGAGGCGCTGTGAAGCCGCATGTGTTTAAGCTGGCTGCAGGCCTGATGTGGATGAAGGTGAGCAAAGGTAAACGTGTAGTGGGCCCTGAGCGGTCACATGACCGAGCCTCCGGGTCGGTGGACTTCATAAACTCGGTGGGCCTTCAGGAGGAGCTGCCAATCAGCTGCCAGAGGCCGCCCCCTGGTGGAAGCAGCTGTGTAATAAAAACTCAGTTTGTTCACCATGGCAACAGTAAATCTTTACACTTTATTTCTCTGATCATATTAAACATTGGAAACAGTGATGTCACCAATCAATAATCAATACTGTCAGATTTGTAGTTAGCTGCAGATCAGGTGTGTGAGCGTGCTCAGTAGCGAGTCGAGAACCCGTGGATCTCCACTTTGGAAATGTCTCGCTCGTCGGAGAACACGGCTCGATCAATTCGGGAACTCGGACTGCCGACGCTCTTCAGCCAGTGCTTCCTGAGGAAGAGGAGGAGGAGGAAGAGCGCAGTTAGTACATTCGGGGTATTTCTCAGTGACCTCTGACCCCACAGTGAATAAAGAAACACTGCGCTCCAATTCATCACAATGAGGTCACCTGACAGAGACACAGCCCACGCCACTGGCATCACTTAGTAGGAGGGGCTTAATTGTGTTTAAACCCCATCCTCATTAAAGAGTTCAGGTTATATCACAGGACAGTTGCGACACGAGTGGGAGGAGTCATTTCACAAACTACACACTGACACCTCTTTAGCCCCTCCCATCACACCAGTGAGTGACAGAGTTGTGGCATAAAGAGTTTAAGGACCTGCTTGATTTTAATGTAAACGTCTGATGTCACAGATGTGACAGGTGAGAGTCATGTGATCGTATCAGGGCGCTTCACTGCCACACACAAGTAGTTTAGTAGGAGAACTGTGGCCCCGCCTCTCTGAGTATGCTCCTGCAGCTCCTTGGTCCTCAGTCCTCCTCCTGCTCTGACTGTGAGGTCATAGCCAGGTCATAGGAGGAGGCAAATGAGGACAGCACAGAGCTGCAAAGCATTATGGGAGCTGTAATACTGCACTGACATTTTCAAATAAAAATCCATTAAAGGATATATCTGTGTGTGTGTGTGTGTGTGTGTGTGTGTGTTCGGAGGCTCTGATTGGTCAGCCAGACTCACATGTCACTGACTTTGTCCCACGGTCCCTGAACCTGACCAATCACAGTGCCCTGTCTGGTGTTTTTCACCCAGCCGCTGAGCCCCAGACTGCGCCCGTGATCCTCCGTGTACTGGCACACATTCACAGGTGTGTGCATTTAGTCATGTGACACGTTTCCATGGTACAGCCTGATCAAAAACAGCAGTAATGTGAAGGAAAAGAGGAAGCTCACCATCCTGAAGCACACTCCTGAACACGGAGAACAAACACAGGGTCAGCGAGTAAAACCTCAAAAAACACACAAACTCGCCATCACATGTCAGGCGACCTACCCTGCACGTTCCCGAAGACCTCAAAGTCCACGGAGACGAGTCTGTTTTCAGCCATGATGGCGTGAAGGAGACAAAGTAAAAGCACACACGGAATCATGTTTGCGCAGCGAGATATTTTTATCTCTGATATTTAAACCTCTCTCAGAAGCCTTCAAAATAAAAGCATCACTCTTGACTGGTCACAGTCATGGTGATCTTTATTGTGAAGGGCATTCACAATGTAGTTATACTACAGAATACTTCCAACAAAGTAAAATTCACAGTTCCATGACTTCCTCGCTGTCGTGAAACAGTGAAGCTGCTTCCTGTCCAAACATCAGGAAGTAACTGTGTAAACATGACCACGCTCACGCCACTGAACGTGACGGCTTGGACAGGTGAGGACTGGTGACGCTGGGCCAGAATAAAAACACACGGCTTGTTTCTCGTCAGTCTGATTTTATTCAAAGACTTGTGAGTCACAGACAAACAGGCCAATGAGAGGAGGGGGCAGAGCTTCAACATCTCAGGTGTCACTCAACCTTGGTCTTCTTCACAGCGCCAGGTAACTTATCCTGCAGACTGAAAACAGACACAGGACGCTTGTCAGCTGCTTGTCTGGACAGAATAATGTGAACACCTGCAGATTAGAGGTGGGCTCATCTGTGTTAACGTGGAAACTGAACATGGATGATCAATCAGCAACCCGACTGTGGACTTTAACTATAGACAGGTGACAAGCACATTAGGAACAGACAGTATGAACACACTGAGCATGCTCAGTTCAGTCCGACTCTTCATAAAGGTAGAACAGAGCTCACCTGGTTCAATTAAGACAGACACTGAGTTTAGATCTGAGGTCAGCATATGCACAGGTGAGACAGACGGCAGTTACCTGTGGACCATGGACACCTGAGACAAACATTACAAACCCCAGTGGTGCTGCAGAAATGAAGGTCAGATTCTCACCTCTGACCTCAGTGAGGCATTTAGATCAGAGTTGACCTTCGGTGAGGCCAAACATGATGAACACCTGATTACCCGTGACCTCACCTCTGCAGAGTTTCCTCCAGTTTGAGCCGAACAGCCTCAACGTGACGATCGATCTGAGCCTGAACACAGAAACACTCTGAGCTAAGCACGGAGCAAACTGGGCAGAAGACAGGGACACCAGGTGTGTCTTTACCTTCTTCTTCTGGTAGATCAACGGTGTAGTGAAGAAAATGATGTCAGCTGCACACAGAGAGACAACCAATCGGAGATCAGAAAGACTGATATTTAACTCGCTCAGAGGGAAACAAACTCACCAAGGATCAAGATGGTGACGCCATTGAACACGGCACCAACGTACGTCATCACCCAGGTGACGGCTGCCAGCTGGAACACGTAGAACAAAGACATGGACCAAACACACAAACAATACACAAAATTCAGTTTTATTTATAAGGCATCAAATCACAACAGTCTCAAGGTAAAGACCCTAAATAATACAGAGAAAAACCAACAATCATATGACGCCCTGTGAGCAAGCGCTTTGGCGACAGTGGGAAGGAAAAACTCCCTTTTGCTCTAATAGGGTGATATGGTACTACAAGGTCATTAAGATAAGATGGGGCCTGATTATTTAAGACCTTGTATGTGAGGAGCAGGATTTTGAATTCTGGATTTAACAGGAAGCCAAAACAGGAGAAATCTGCTCTCTCTTTCTAGTCCCTGTCAGGACTCTGGGTTTTTAGGGTCGAGTACAGTAACCTCAGCTTTATCTGAATTTAGACATTCCTGCAGTTTAAGTGCTTGGTGTGTGTTATCTGGCTTCGTGGATAGATAAAGTTGAGAATACACACAACAAACAAACACACAGAATAAAAACACACGCTGACCTTCAGGGAGTCGACCAGGTCTTCCACCAGTAACAGCCTCCTTGTTTGATTACTGAACCAGTTCAAGTGGATCAGAAACTGGTCAGCGAGCTGCCGAACTGACTCTGAGGACACGGAAATGTCCCTCTCCAACAGAGACCTGAAGACGAGAGCTCCAGTGAGGTTAGAGTGATTAGAGCCAGGTTAGAATCAAATCACCCAGGTTACCTGAATGGATGACCTTCATCGGACTTCTGGACGGCCTGGATCACGGATTTATAAACCCTGCAGACGGGATGGAGAACAGGAAGATGTTTTTCATGCTGGGTAATGCGATCTATCTGTCTATAGCAGGTTCCACCCACCTGAAGGTGATTGTGACACAGAGGCACGCCAGGAGCAAATAGGACACCACGCTGATGACTGACAGTGTTGCCAAGGAGAGAAGAACCAGCAGTGAGAGGCCGAACGCCGCTGCAGATTTCTTCGGTTCTCTCCAGTGCACGAGCTGTGAGGCTGCTGACATATTTTCTGAGATTAACCAAAACCAGCTTGATGCCAAAACAACAAATAGATACTAAAAGACAAGAAAGCAGAGAAAAGCAGGCTCCCAGAAACCTTTGACCGGGAAAGGCACAGATATGGACAGAACGAGGACTGCCACACCAATCACACGTCACAGCAGTGAAGCATACCACAGAGAAGCAGATTCAACCTTTCATGGAGGGTTTCCTCGTACATGTGAACTGGAGTGAAGCACTCACACCATCGGGCTGGGCTGGTAATCTGGCATATGGTGCACCATTCGTTCACTTTCATTACTCACACTGGATCGCCTAATCAAACTTCTTAACGAGACCGGCCCAACCCTACCTTCACTGTGTGCTCACACAGCTTGTAAAAAAAAGTTTAGCGTGGAAGAAGCAGCTAGAAGGCGGAGCTAAAAAGCAGCTGTTGGGCTGCTGCACCGCCAACAGTTGTAGCACGGGAGGCTGCTGCTGCTGCTGCACCAGCTGTGGAGACGTGCAGGAGGAGGAACAGCAGCTCAACAACAGACTGAGGAAAAGATGAAGGAGGTGAAATAAACATGGCGAGAAAATAGATGGAGGAACATAATCAGAGATCCAGGGAAAATGGTAACTTTGACCACGAGCTGCTCCTGACAGCAAAATGCAGCTTTCACTGCAACTGAGACCGAACCCAACAACAACAATAACAACAGTACCCACATGATTCAAACGAAAACATTCAATAATCAAACTTAATGAAATATATACAAGTGAACGGGGTCAAAGTCCAAGACGAGCTCAGAGACGTGGAAATAGCCGGTGTTCTCTCCCACAAGCAAAATGAATCAGGTGAAGATGTGCTGAACCTTCATGAACCATAAACAAATGCACAGGAACCTTCAAGAATGTGATTTATGCAGTGCCAAATCACAACAGACTAATAATCACCAGCAACCTCTGAAATCCATCAGGAATTTTTAAAAACATTCCCAGAACTTAATCCTGGACCTGCAGGACCTCTACTTTAGCCTCAGCAGCATCCAGTCTGCAGGAGAAACAAGCACTGGCCTTATTATCACCTGAAAAACAAAAGAAAACGTCTGATCTTTGCTGTCAGCAAATAGTTTGGAACATGTTGTAGATGTGTTCTCTTTCTCCCATTTCAGGAGAAATGTCCCATTACTGGGACTCTCTTTTCCCCATTCACTCATCCTCAGCCCAACATCAGCTGGGCTGCTAACAAAAACAACTTTAAATCACCTTCGTTCAGCTTCTTTCCTCTGTAAGCTAAAGAACCGACAACGTTCGAGAGAAAACCCCACCGAGCCGTGACAGACCTCAGGCTGGGCTCGAGCATTTCAACATGTTTTATTCCACGTGCAAAGCTCTCTGTAACTCCACCTTTTACAGTTTCCCAATAACCTCGTCTCATTAATCCAGGTTTAATCCCTGCAGATCAGCTGCGGTCATGTGGATCCTATTAGGAGGCGGAGCTACATTCCACAGAGATCCTGTTCAGAGCACACAAGAAAATAAGATCAACGCTGATCTGAGCTGACCTGCTGATGTTTCCTGGAGAATGAGAAAAACCTCAACTCCCAGAAGAACGTTGAAGATTTAATGCCTGATAGAAATCATCTGACCTTCACATCATCCAACTCACAGTTTATAGCTCAGCTTTGAACACTCGCACACACACA